GCAGTTGGGCTGAAGGGAGGAGAAACCCTATTTCCGTACAATTTACAATTCAGGAATTACACAAAAGATGCTGAGCCCCATTGGAACAGCAGACACCAGGGGTTACCTGGTACCCACTGAGCTGCAGTTCAGACAAGACATGGAGAAGCTGAACTCATCCATCAAACCACTCCTGCATTTCTTCTTTTATTTCTTCTGCAAAAACTATCAACACTGTGAGCAGATCCTCATGCTGGGGAGGAGGAAACTGCAGTCTAACCAACAGGTCACCAGGACAACTGCCTTCCCACTGACATTGCAAGGGGCAGGTAAGGTCTGCAGAGCCCTTCCATCTCCTGGCAGAAAATCACAATGTTCTGCAGTTCAGACTTCGCAGTTTCATGTGAAACAGACCCAAGATGTTTTTGCCTGGCCACGTGGAACAGCTTTGCAGGGATGCACCTGTGAAAGCATCAGGCAGGGAATAAAGCCCATGGCACTTGAGCCAGCCCATGCACTTCCCAGGAGGCTTTCACAAGCCCTTTTCCATCTGAGATCTCTGCCAGGGTAAGAGCTGAACTCTGGACTTGCTTTGTGTCCACTGCCTGACTTGTGGGCTGCTGCAGTGTCACCCCAGCTCAGGAGACACCAGGGAGACAACACTCCTACCACAGCCAGACCCAGAGGTCCCACACAGAAAACACACAGAAGGGGTTGGAAATACCTTCAGTATCTGATTTATGCAATGATCTATGCTACCTGCTCCCTGCTTTTGAGACATGTTTGACAGCCTTTGGAGGGCCCATTCCTCTGCTCCGCTGCCCACAGCACATGCCTCTCTCACCTAGTGCTGTTCAATTCTGTATCAATGCATGGGTTTTAAATAAACAAATAAAGAAACAAGCAAACACACACACAAAAAAAAAAAAAAAGCAAAAAACCACCACAAAACAACAGCAGCAAAACCAAAACAAAGCAAAAAACACCAAAGGGAAAAAAAACCCTTACCAAACCCAAAAACATTAAGAAACCTTACTTGGACTAGCAACTCCTGGCTTGTGCCCAGAACGAACCCAGCTGGTACAAAAGGAAGAGACAAGGGTCCAAGACAGAAAAGGCACACAAATATATCCACTGTAGTGATTTTTCTAATAGACTCGGCCCAGCATAATGTGAAAATACGGTGATCCACCGACAAGTTGAGCTGGGAAGAATTAAAATGGACTGCAAACAAGATGGGGGATATCTAACTAAAAATACACCTAAAGCTCCCAAAGGCTGTGAGGGGGAAGCTGCTGCTGCACTGTCTCCATCCAAACTTCCTCCATGGAGCTGGCAACAACTAGTGGGTCACTTTCATAGGGAGGGACAGGGGTCATAGCACGAATCATGGACTCTCTAAGGCTGGAAAAGCTCTCCCAAGACCATGGAGTCCAATCTGTGCCCAATCCCCAACCTTGTCACCAGCCCAGAGCTCTGGGTGCCACGTCCAGACCTTCCCCAGACACCTCCAGGGATGGGGATTCCAACACCTCCCTGGGCAGTTCCAAGGCCTGACCACCCTTTCCATGGGGAAATTCCTGCTGCTGTCCCCCCTGTCCCTGCCCTGGCCCAGCCTGAGGCCGTTCCCTCTGCTCCTGTCCCTGTTCCCTGGCAGCACAGCCCGACCCCCCCGGCTGTCCCCTCCTGGCAGGGACTTGTGCAGAGCCACAAGGGCCCCCTGAGCCTCCTTTTCTCCAGGCTGAGCCCCTTTCCCAGCTCCCTCAGCCGCTCCTGGGGCTCCAGCCCCTTCCCCAGCTCCGTTCCCTGCCCTGGACACGCTCCAGCCCCTCGGGGTCTCTCCTGTGCTGAGGGGCCCAGGGCTGTCCCAGCACAGAGCAGTGTGAAACATGTGCTGCTCAGGTCAGGCTGACTGCAGCAGAAATGCAGGTTTTCAAGAGGGAATCTCTGCCAGACTCCAGGCTCCTGCCCAGAGAGATGACACACACGGAAATTAGAGCCAGGATGTGGGCACACAAGGGATCTTTTGTTCCTCTGCGAGAAAAGCAAGAATCAGCCAGGACATCAGCGGCTGTGCTGGCTCTCTGTGTGACCATGGCACAGCTTTCAGGCTGCTGCCAAGACGGCAAACACCTTTTGAAACCTCCTAACCCCACTGCACCCCTCCAGGACAGGACCCTGACCAGAGGAGGTGCCTGCACTGCCCTGCAGGCAATCCATGTCCCAAGGCACTCCTTGCTCCAACCCACGGCCACTAATAATCACTGAATGATCCCTCCTTCCACCATCCCAACACTTGACTCCACCACAGCAGCACTTGGAGCAAACTAACTCCATGCTGCTCATTTTGTTTGAAACAACGCTGTTTCAGTGAATTAAATTCACTGAATAATTTAATTCAGTGTGTTTAGTCCCACACTGGGTATCTGAGGAGTTTCTAAAGAGCTGGTCACTGTAAAAATTAAGAGGATGTCACATATGAATTTTAATCACTTGCCTTTTTTTGTTTTATTTGGGTTTTTTGTTTAAGCTGTTTCACATGCAAGCGCTGCAAAATCATCCTCTTTGTGAAAAGCTCAAACTTAAAGGGGAGTTTTAATATACACTGAATCCATTGTAGGTGCTTTAGGAACAATTCTGACTCAAAAATGGGATCAGGTGTTGTTACACACCCTCTGCAGCCCCCTTGTATAGCCCATACATGTGGGGTTTTTTTATTTTTTTTTTCCTTTTTTTAAATTTTTCTTTTTTCCTTTTAAATTGGAACTGTCTGATGACAGGACAAAAGCAGAGGATGTCACACAGCCACCTGTGGAGATGCCTCCTTCTCCCTCCATCTCTTGGGCACTGAGCTTGAGGCAGTGAGAAAGCACAGGAGCAAGTCACTACCGCTTGTACACGCCAACTGTACACACTCTGCCCTGGAAGCTCAGAGAAATAAAAATCTAACTGCCTGCAGTTCTCCTCATTTAACAACAAGTCTCAAGTTTTGTGTCCTTTTCTCTTGCCAGCCACTCAATCCCATTCAATTCCCTCCACTGCACTTTCCCTGTGTGCCCTGGGCCACTAATGGAGATAAAATATTCCAAAACCCCCAAGACTGGCCAGACTGTTTTCCTGCTCTCAGTCACCTTGCAAGTTTGACCTTTTGAGACGGCAAGCTTGAGTTTTATTCCTGATCTATAAGGATGCACCAGACATAATCCAATTGTTTAAAAGCTGAACTGCAAAACAAGTGATATTTTTGCACCAGTTTAGGTTTAACAAGCCATATCCCACCTCACCCCAAAGGACTGAGCTGCAGACACAAGGCATCCCACACAGTCAGCATTTCAGCTGAAAAAAGGGCAAAAAGAAGTCCTTTTCAATGCCCTTTTTCCATCACCCAGGAGCTATGTGATCCACACACCCTGCTCCAACAGCTCCATCTTGGAGCACTGTGGAGGGAGAAGCTCGGATCAAACTGCAGAAAACACAACACCCCCTCCAGGAGCACTCAGACTTAAAACTCAGTATGCTACATTTTAAGGCACATTTCAAATAACCAGGTAGATTCCTATAATCCACATCCCAAACTCCTCTCAGCCCTGTCTGAAACCCTCTTTTGAACCCAAGCCTGCAATTACCATAATAACAGCCCAAAACAGAGAGCACCAGAGGAGCACTGAGCAGTGAGCACCTTGCTTAAGAGCTCTGAAGGTGGTTATTTTCCTGTTCCCTTGAAAACAGAGCAGTCTGAACCACCCAGAGACAGCAGTTATCCATTACGAGTTGCTGTCAAAAGTAGCTTTATTCTGATAGGGAGGAAAGCAGAGACCAGCATTGCTGCCTAGAGCTGTTAGCCTACTGCCTGCAAAGTTACTCAGGGATGTGGGAGAACAGCGTGTCTTCCCTAGCTCAAACTTCAGCAGAAAAACAAGTTGCTGCCTTGTATTTCAGACACTTGCCTTAGGAAACCCACAGGTCCTGTCCACACTGGTCAGCAAAACCCTGGCCTCTCCTAAAACAAACCACGCAGCTTGCAGCTCAGCCTGAAATCACACAAGGACAAAATCCTAAGCCTTCCTCTCTCTACAGGCAGCTCCCCAAATTCCTGAGCTCCTCTCAAAGCGGTTTTTCCCAAAGCACAAAGCACTTGCAGGAGTGAACTGCAAGGCTGGACTCGGTTTGGGTACAATCCATCCTCTCCCTGGCCATGGCAGGGCTCCTCCAGATGCATTTCTGGATCGAACTCTGGCTCACTTTTATTAGAAATGTATCCTAACTCACCACTAAAACCCAGACACAGCAGAAAGCAGGTTCCAACCCTTGGAAAATGGTTCAGTGCTTACTCTTGCTGTTAAAAGCCAGGGCTGTACAAAAATCTCAGCTAATCCACAAGCAAACATGAACAGACTGTGTGAGTCCTGACAGCTATAATAAAATGATCCCTGGTACAACAATTTTCAGTTTCCTCTCCAATTCTCTTTTGGATCATGACTTATTTGTTAAGAACAAAATCCTACATTTGTCCCCAGCAACACAACAAGCACGGAAATAAATAAAGTAAAACTGTCACCATATCCATCTGGTGAAGACACTTCGAGGGATCCATAAATATCTCCAAGTATCTTCCAGTCACCACCCAACTCAAAATCACAATGTGTCCATAAAACAACAACTAACATTAGCTTCTGGATTTAGTTTGATTATCTCACCAAATTATCTGAAATGTGGTTTCCTCTAAGCTATTAAACGTGGTATTTGCAGAGTGGTTTGGATTTCTTCCAGGAAACTCATCCAAGAAGCAACAGGAGAGGGATCCCCAGTGAACCCCTGAGTTCCTGAGTGCCACAGGGATCCCCATCAGCCCAGCAGTGTGGGTGCAATCACAGGATGAAGTCATTAGGCAGAATTAATTAGAAATGCCTGACCTCCAGCACACTCTCTTTCACAACTTTGCTTTCATTGAGTATCTGGAGTGTTTAATAGCATCTTTGCCCACTTTTGACCCAAACCCCCGTGGCTGGGCCACCACTGACCTGGCCATCTGCTTGTAGGCTTCCTCGGCCACGGCGAAGATGTGGGGGTCCATGTCCCCCATGTTCTGGCCGCTGTAGGCGTAGATGACATCCTGCTCGTAGATCGGCAGCTGCTCATAGGGGTTGATGGCCACCAGCACGATACCTGAGGGCAGGCAGACAGGCAGGCAGGTCACCAAGCAAGCAGGGAGTTGATATTTCAGGGCTTTCTGGGCTTGTGGGAGTTGCTTCAGTAAGATTTTTGAAATACGGTGATCGAGAGTTAACAAAGAAAGGTGACCAGTGAATGGGGAAGGGCACGTAATTCTTATCTCAGCATCTCCTTCAACAGCAGGGCAGTAAGCCCCTGTAACAGCTACCAAGGAGATGCACAAAACTGGTGAGAAGAGCAAAAATATACAATAATCTCCATTGTGTGAAGACAGACTTTGTAGGAGGGGTGAGGAGAGATCAACACAGCCTGAGCCAGCGCTACAGAAAAGCAATTCCTGTGCAACCAAAGCTCTGCTAGACCCAAACAAACATTCCAGGTTTTCCCCTGGCATGAGTTGCAAGTAAAAACACCTAACAAAGAATGTACCCAAATCAAACTACAATTCATAAATCACTGGAAAGGAATGCCAGAGCCTGCTCTGAGGCTTTAATGTCTGCCTCCTCTCCAGCTCTGGGCGCGCTGGAGGAGGCGGTGAGCTGGGAGCTAATGAGAGGCCAAGCCCCGTGGGCTCCAGGGAGCTGCTCTGCACCCAGCTGCTGACAAAGCTCCACCTCTGAGGAGTTTCAGGTCAGGCAGGTCTCAGCTGTCCCTGCCAGGAGCTCCAGGAGCACCTGGCTGTGGGGCCAGTGTTCTGCTCCCAGCCCAGCCGGTTCAGGGCTGGGGCGCACTCCAATTACAGGAGCATAGGAACTCTCATCTTGTAGCAAACACCAGGAGTGTGAATTAGCCCACCAGGAAAGGGCAAGGTCAGTGACTATCACATCACCTGCCCCTGCAGGACATTGACCCAGCTGCTTCACCTCCCCGAGCCCTGCTCCTGCCTGTTTGCTTCCCAATTCTGCTCAGGTCACCCGCCAGTTTTCCCTTACTCACCAAAACCACGATGCAAACCAAGCTGAAGGGCTCTCCTCCCCTCAGGCAAGCACCTTCCTGCCCTTCTCAACCACTTTATAACCAAAGCATGAGCTGTGCTGCAGCCAGGCAGAGCTCTGCAGCTAAACCTACACAGCCCAAGCACCTGCATCTCCATTAATGCTGCACTTGAGATGATCATCAACCTTCATCAGAAGCTGCCCCCATGAAACCTGACTGATTTTGGGTGAGAGCAGGCCTGTGAGTGACTGAGGGCACATGTGTACCTGCAAAAGGCTGCAAGTTATGCCAGTAATCCAGTACTACACATCATTAAATACTGAAAGTTAACATTACTAAGAGCCACAGAGGCTACATATTTCCACTGTTTTAAAAAGTCATCTCCTCCTGCCAAGCATTTCCAAGCTGCAGCAGCATCACAGCTGTACACACCAGCTTTAACAGCACCCAGGCAATGGCTTGCCAGTGCCAGAGGGCAGGCCCAGCTGGGATATTGGCAAGGAATTGCTGGCTGGGAGGGTGGGCAGGCCCTGGCACAGGGTGCCCAGAGCAGCTGGGGCTGCCCCTGCATCCCTGCAGTGTCCAAGGCCAGGCTGGACAGGGCTTGCAGCAGCCTGGGACAATGGAAGGGAGGTGTCCCTTACATGACAGAGGGTTGGAACAAGATGATTCGTAAAAACCCCTTCCAACCAAACAAGTCTGGTATTCTATGCCTTCCTTCCTTTCTTCCTAATTTTTCAAGTCACAACTTGTTGCTGTCCATCCACAGGTAACTGCTGTCCTGAATAGCTTTGATGAGGCATCCTCCCCAAAAATCACAAACCCAAGTTCACACCTGCCCTCCTCCTGCTCTGAATTCAGGAGTTAGATGACTGCCAAAGCCATGAAGAAAAGGAAATTAATGGCAGCGCTGGAAGGTTTTTTTGTGTTTTTTCTGGAGGAAAACCTATAGGATCCCTCTGTCTGGCATGCTGCTGTTCACTGGGCTTTTAAGTCCTGCATTTTCCCAGTGGGGGCTGCCAAGCACATGCAAGGCTGGCCTCAAATTCATCTGACAAGGTGTTCCAACCAAAAGCAAGTTCATTGCAGCAGCCCTCAAAAAACATCTCTGTTGACACACACTCCTGCCTCCCATGCACCCTAAACACAGCACCCCCAGACTTTTCTCGCACTGCAGCTTCTGGTTTGTGGTCTCAAGGGGTTTCTCTGTGTCCCCCGAACCTCCCAGGAGCTGAAGGTGTGGTCTGGACACTCACCACAGTAGGTGTAGATGTGGTTGGACTCGAGGAACCTGACTTTGAGGTTGTGCAGGACCGCAGGCTCGTGCAGGTAGCTGAGGGCTGTCAGGTCATTCTGCCCCACCAGGATGTCTGGATTGCGCAGGAAGGGCAGCTCATTCCCTTGGAGGTCGATGGGATATTCGTACAGCTGAACAGGCACACGAGGAACATAGCAACACAAAAAAAAAACAACGCTCCTTTAATGGCTTGTAACTTTTCCAGGCATAACTCCTGATAGTGTAAAATACTTACACGCCCTGATCTAAATTAAATTAAAAGTCCCTTGATGATAAATGCTATAGGGACTTGGAGGACAGACTGCCAGGTGACCCCTTGGTGTCGGCTTTGAGCTGACCATCACATGGTCCTGGTGATGGTCCACAAGCACCAACCTGGCCACACCTGAGTCCCTTCCAGGCCAGCCTTGGGACAAACAGCCTTTAGTCAGCTGTGAGCAGAGACAGGCACCCTACAGAAAGCCACAGCTTCATCTGATCTAACCTGCTCTTGGAAAAGCAGCCTCATTCCAAACTAGACCATGTTCTTACCATCAGAGCGATTTCTCAGCTCATTTTTACTTCAAGTTACTTTTATACCTGAAACCTGGCACCCTTGAGGCAGGGAGGACATGGAGAAGCACGGAGTCCCTGCTGCTGAAGTGTCTGAGGAGCCAGGTTATGCTGCTGAAGTTGGCATATGGGCAGCCTTATGCTATTTTTGACTCATCCCCAAACAAGCAGCAGAGCCATCAGCTAAAAAAAAACTGCATTTTTTTTTTTTCTTTACAGAGGAGGGGGGGGAAATAAAATTGCCAGTGATGCTGCTTCACACAGGGTGCCTCAGAAAGGAGGCCTGATGCTCAGCTCCCATCAGAAGGCAGGAATCCCAGCTTCCAAGCAAAACCACTGTCACTGGGTCACTGCCCATGCAAACAGCACAAGGAAAGCTGACCCAAGTGCACGAGGACAGGGTCCCCCAGCATGTCTGACAACCTCAGGCTTGTTTTATCCTCCAATTCCACCTTGTCAATGCCAATTTTCAAGAGTTTGCACTCAGTCTCACATCTTAATGGCAAACACACCAGGGATGGCTTGTGATATTTAAAAGTCAGCTCTTCATTCGGAGGGAGTACTGCTGCATACAGAGCAGAGCCAGAAACCACAAAAAATCCATGAAGATTCACTTAAAGCACAGGAACAAAAGGAAGCACTGAACAACGGGGTAATGCTTGTTGGCTGTCAGGAACAAAAGGCTTTCTACAGCTTTGAATCCCCTGAAGGTAAGTGTGCTGGGTATCTCCGACCTGATGCACACAAGTGCTGTTCCCCTTTGCTAGAGCTTTTCAGTCCAAGATGACATGGATGGAGGCATAGAGGATGGACTCATACAGGAAAGCATCCAACAGGGCACTCCCAGAGACCTTGGGTCTCTTGCACAACCCCAAAATGAGATGTTCCATGTTTCACTATGACTGTGACATGCTTATTAAGCTACTACCTGCAATACCTGGTAATCCTTTCATCTCCTTGTACTTTAATGTTGCTGACCCTGAACTCAGCTGCACAAAAAGAACAGACCTTGTGGGACTCCTCCCTTTAGTTTCCAGGGAAATATCCAGATTAAAGAGGAAAAAAAATAATTCCTGCCCAAGTACTAAAACCGCAGGAGATCTCAGCCAGGAGGGGAGGATGGGGGTTGTAGCACTCAGCAATAGGAGCAGGTGTACTTTGGCAGCCTGAGCACAAGCAGAAGAAGGGAGCTCCTGTGGATGAGATGGGCACCCAGGCACCCATCAGTGTCCAGCCCTGGGTAACACCAGCACAAGGACGTGGAGCTGCTGGAGCCGGCCCAGAGGAGGCCACGCAGCTGCTGCCAGGGCTGGAGCCCCTGTGCTCTGGAGGCAGCCTGGGAGAGCTGGGGCTGCTCCCCTGCACAAGTATTCAGGCTCCAGGGAGAGCTGAGAGCCCCTGGCAGGGCCTAAAGGGGCTCCAGGAGAGCTGCCCAGGGACTGGGGACAAGGCCTGCAGGGCCAGCACCCAGGCAATGGCTTGCCAGTGCCAGAGGGCAGGCCAGCTGGGATATTGGCAAGGAATTGCTGGCTGGGAGGGTGGGCAGGCCCTGGCACAGGGTGCCCAGAGCAGCTGGGGCTGCCCCTGCATCCCTGCAGTGTCCAAGGCCAGGCTGGACAGGGCTTGCAGCAGCCTGGGACACTGGAGGTGTCCCTGCCGTGCCTGGGACTGGATGAACTTTAAGGTCCTTCCAACCCAAACCATTCCATGATAAAATAACAACTCTATGTCTGGTGCTTCCAAGGGATTGCAGGGTGGAATCTGTGCATCTCCTCATCCAGATTTATCAGTGTGGAAGGTAAAAAGGCATCAAGCACCCTCCATCCTTTATCCACCCCAGAAAGCTGTCCTATGCTGGAAGAGCAAACTGGGAAAGACAACAATAGCAGCTGAGGCCAGGCCAGGAAGAAGCACCAGCACCAAGCACCAGGTACAGATCCCAACATCAATAACATTTTCTGCAAACCTGGCACACTCACACACTGCCAACAGCCTGTGCTTGAGCTGCTCTGAAAGAAAAACTGCTCTGATGAGCTGCCTAATCGATCACAGCTCATTCCTGTTCTCCATCTTCCCATTAGGCAATACGGTGAAAATGCTCCCCACAATGTGGAAATGTCTGGCTTGGAGGGGATGGGAATTACTTGCCCTGCTCAGAACATATGAAATTGTAGTGGGTGGTCTCTACTAACTCTTCTAGGAAACGGAGAAGATCACACTCCAGACAGCTCAGGAAACCCCACCTGCCCAGTGAAGAAAGATGGTTTAGGTGAAATTCTTCATGAAAAATGTATTTATTCTCCCTGCTACACCAGGCAGCTCATGGTAGGTACACGGCACTTCTGCTTGCTTCCCATAAACTGAATTTGCAGCTGATGCAAATGCCGTGGTTAACTTCATCTGAAATTCCCTGCTGTCACCCAGCATCCCGCTCCACACGGTTTTCGTGTGGAACAGAGAGCAGCTGCTCCTCCCCAGCCTCTGTCCTGCCCTGGGGATGATTAATTGCTGGCTGTACACACGCTACAGCCCAGGCTGTTTGTGCATCTGGAACCAGCGCTTGCTGGAAAACACCTACATTTAAATGAGCTCTGTGCTTTTCTCCTTTAGAAGCTTTTCTTATTTAAAAATAAGGCAGAGAAGAAAAGGGGTTTACATAAGATTTTGCTCGGGGAGAAAAACTGAGGCTGTTTTTGTGGGGAAAGCTGTTGCACAGCAGTCACCTCTGAGCCGTGTGTGGGTTTTCCATCAGTACCCGAGGTTGAGTAGCTGCCACCAGCCATGCTCTCCACGATTTGTTCAGCAGCCAAAAGCACAAACTGGCACTTCTGACATACTGCTGCTATTAAAAAAAATACATCTTGATATCACAGAGTATTACAAGTTTGCCAGGAGATGAAAAGAGATGATGGAGGTCAAGGGCTTTTCTCGCAACCTACTGTAGCACAAGTGTCTAGGGAGGGAAAGCTGGAAGTGCTAAGGCAATAAAACACATTTTAAACCACTTCACAGAAACTAAGAGATGGCTCAGGCTTCTTCACACATTAATTCGAAGCTTTAAATTACTGAAAAGAATAACGACATTCGAAAGCTTACAGTTTCATCTTCAAGTTTCAGCTGGAGGCTTTTATCTCCCTCTTTGTAATCCTTGATAATTTCTGCTGATCTCCAAACTTCATCAGGGTCAGGAATCCAAACCCTAGTGTACTGGAGAGGTGAAAAAGAAAAGAAAGAAAAAGTTTAAACACGACAAAACCTCAGGAAATTAAATGAGAAATAAATTAATTCTCCATTAATACACTCTCACACTCACTGCAGAGTCAATGCAGCTAAACCATTTATTTTAGTAAAAGAAGAAATAAATCCAGTTTTAGTTCTTGGGGTAAATTACAGACCAGAAGTCCAGTTTTTCAGTCTAATTTTCTCCTGGATCAAGGGAGTACAGTGGCTTGTTACCAATCTAACAAAGCAGGGTAAAGTCTCAAGGTAAACGTGGATTTTCATTTCCTTGAGAAAAAACAGCCTCCCAGAAGGCTTTTATGAAACAACACAATTCACCCCCAGCAGACCCCAGACCAAGGCATGTTTATTTTGCTCAAAACGAGGCAGTTTGGTCCCCACAGAGCAAGCCCTGACCCAAACCCACAGCCACGGACAGAGGCAGGCAAATGCCGACACCAAAGCCAACTCCTTCAGTTGGAGGTCAACACACAAACAGGCCCTGGGAACGCACCTGAGTTTAAATTAATTGATGCATTAAGTTAAATTTAACCTTTTTTTTGCATCTACAAAGCTATGGCAAACTAAGGGGGAAGCCCCAAGGCAGGGCTGTGCAGCCCAGCCCATGCTTTGGCTGACGGAGCCAGGCTGGTGCTGGACTCATCCAGCCCACACAGCCAGCAGGAACCCTCCAACAACCACAACAGCCACGGGTTTTCTGGCCTTCTGGGGGCATCCCTTCCCTCTGTTCTTCCTGTTGATTGAAATCAGAGCCATATAATCTTATTCCTACTCAAAACACGAGGGGCAGGGGTAAATCCCAGCAAATCCAAGTGGCAGCAGCACCAGAGCCCCAAAGGTGGTTTTGGCCTTCATTTGAAACCAAACCACAGCACACAATGTCCAAGTAACATCTTGTAGCAACCAACGAGTTAACACAGCAGCAGCCACCACCTGACAGGCCACTTTGCAAGCTGAAAAGCAATAGATTTTTATACGTTATTGCACGTAATTATTTTTAGAGCTGCTCAATAGCTACAGCAGCAGGAACCGTTAGATGTTAATGGAGCCACACAATCATATTCCCAGAACAACAGTTTTACCAGGGGGTGGGGGAAAAGATGTGAAAACTGGAATTTTCTCAGCACACCAGCCCTAGCACCCCATGAGCCCTCAGTGCTCTCCCTGCCACAAAGAAGGGAGGCTGCAGTGGGCTGGCTGGGACCCTTACCAGCCCCACCACTGTGGACTCATCCAGGGCCAGCTCTCTGCTGGCAAAATGTGAGATTCAGACATGCTCTAGAAGTGCCCAAAATAGCCAAGGATCGGGATGTACCCGGCTCAGGGCAGCTTCAAACACAAGGTTTTGCTGGTCTTGGCAAACCTTGCAAATTTTCCACCTGCACACGGGGCTGGGCTGAGCCCTGGACCTGCCTGGACAGGCATCTGCAGACAGGGACACAGTGACCCCAGAGCAACCCGAAATGGGGCGCCTGTGAACGCTTTGCAGGTGAAATCCAGCACAGCTCCAGCAGCAGCAAGAGGTCCCATGGGTCACCCTTGGCAATTCATCATCAGCCATGGCCAGCAGCCACCCAGGTGTGGCAGGAGGCTCCGAGGGTGACAGCTCTCGGCACCCACTGCTCACAGCCTGGTGCTGGGAGGCTCCATATCCCACCAGCCACCCCCACCACAGCGCTACAGAGTTTTAATAATAATCACAAAACCGATCTTCCCAGACTTTGTGCGCACACACACGTGCAGGGGGCCCCACAGGACAGAGTGCACCAGGACAGACCGTGTTTGCAAGGCCCCAGGAGCCCTGGGACACCCCTGGCTGGCAGCTCCCAGATGTGGTCAGGCACTCCCCATACACCGAGTGCTCCCACCCTGCTGCAGAGCCAGGGGCTGTTAGCACAGGCTGCTGTGAATGCACTTCCCCAAGCATCTCTAATGCTGTCCTCTCGTGCGTGCAGACGTCCAGACAGGGGAACACCATTCATCCTCCTGTGCTTCCCCTCCCTGTGCGCCCCTGCAAGCGCTCGGCCCTCCCCGCAGGGTAGGCTGCTGCACAAACCCCATCCAAGCCCCCCCTTTCACCCATAAATCCCAGTCATGTCAACCACGCAGCGATGGAATAAAAGCACTTTGTCGCTGGCACATCTTCACAAGGCCGGCTTTAATTAGAACCTGACGAGGCCTGGGGGCGGCCCTCAGTGGGGTCAGGCTGGTCTCACCACCCTCACCTCCCCTGCATTCCCTGCCTCCCACCCCTGCTCCCCCAAAGCAGCCTCACACCCCCTCTTTCTGACACTGGAACCCACACAGGGGAGAGTCACCGCGTCCCCAAGCCCAGGGCGCTGGCAGGTGGCCCCCAGGCATGGGGAGAGCATCCCTGTGAGCTGCTGCTCCCATAATCACGCTTCCAGCATCATTTTACCACTCCACGAGCCCTGTCTGGGCTCCTGAGAGCTGTCACAGCCTCTCGACCTTTGGAGGAGCTTGTTATAAGGGAGAGGGCACACGGGCCCGTCTCAAAGCGCTGGGAATGAAGGATTAACTTGGCTTTGGGCTCAGGAGACACAACCCTGGGCAAACCACTCAGCCTCCAGACACTCCAGGGTCTCCATGCATTTTCTCTCTTGTTTCTAATTTTTTTTAAGAAAAAGAGTCCTTCAGTCCTCAAGGATGCCTTTAAACAACATGCCAAAATTATCTAGAAATGATTCCACATGCTCAGCCTCTTAAAAAAAATTTTTTTAAAATCTGGTTTACTTTGTGATTTTTTTAACCAGATCCCAAATAAAACTAAAGCCATTCAGTGCTCTCACAGCCTCTTGCATTATTCCACCCAGCTTAAGGAGAAGCTTAATAAATTCAATCCCCACCTCCTGATTTGATTTAGATTTTAGCAGGCTGCCGCTGCGGATGCAGATTAAAACCAACATTAAATTAGAAGAGGCAGGTCTTGTTCCACTGTTTCAAAGCCCTCAGTGCTGGCCAAAGGCTCTTGCAGCAAGCTCTGGGCAATGTGCTCCATCTCAGCGAGAAGAGATGCAGGTCTGCAGGCAAAGAGTCACAAGTCCGTGGACAGAGCATCATTCTCATTGCATTAAGAAAATTGTATCATCTTCCATTAAGTATAAAATATTAAAAGCTAGCGATCTCAGCTTCGTCTGGGCCGTTTGGCGGTGGCAAGTCTTCATGGCAAGCTGGACATCAGCAAATCCATCTTTCTTATTGCTGGGTTTTAATCCCCTGAGTTATTTCAGGAATGCCAATACTCACAGCTGACCCCTGAAGTTTTCATTGCTCCTGGGTCAAGGGCATTTTTCCAGGGGCATCCTTCCAAAAACTGCAGATAGAGGGAGGGCACAGCAGAAAACCCACAATATTGGCAATAAAATAGCAACAACCACCTCACAATTAGGAATTCAGTAACATTAGTGAAAACGTAGTGTGTCATGGCAAAGGTTCTTCCACACAGGTTAAGAAAATCTTATGAAAGGACTTTGATTGAAAACAGAAACAGTGTTTTTTTTTAAAAATCAAAGGTGTAACACAAATGTTAACCGGAACAAGGTGTAAATTTGGACAAATCTCTCTATATTTTTTTTCTCTGTAAAGCAAGCACACTTCTGCTTTTCTCCCTTTGCAATAGGCTTATTGCTGACCTCATTCTATATTGTTCAGTGTCCAGTGTTGCTGGATGCATTTGAAGAGGACAAAAAATACACACGAAAGAAAAACCAGCACAAATGTCAGCCCTGGCTTCCTGAGAATATTTATGTTTACACACACGGCATGTGAATGGTTACGCAGCTACACTCAGACCAATAACCACCTTCCAGCTCTCACTCACAAGCTATCTATTACTAAAACTGAAGTTTTCCCACACCTGCTCCTCTCAGGAAAGAGGCAATCTGTACTTGGAATTAGAAGTAGCCATATCACACACTCTGGGTGTCATTTTTCTGTTCCCTGTTTTCCTTGTTTAAACTAGCATCGAAGATCACTCCGCAGAGATAATTTAAAGAGGCTCTTGCACAAATAATAAAATAAAATACAAAAATATAATAAATATAACAAAGTAAAGTAAAGTAGAAATAAAGTAAAAGTAAAGTAGAAATAAAGTAAAATAAAGTAAAACAAAACAAGAGGATTTTATTTGCAGCCCCTGTCTGGATGTCCACAGCTTCTCCCTCAGCCTCTATGCTAAATCAAGCAAACCTATCTCCACTAATTTTCATCAATACAGACCGGTTTGGCCCATGCACTGCCCCTGTGCCCAAAGCAGCAGGGTCCCAGGTTTCCCATGAGTTACAGGTGGTCATTGAAGGGGTTACTCTGCTGCAGTAAATGTGTTTGTGAACCCACTGTGCCTCTGGGGGCCAAGAACAGCCCCTGGACGTGGGCTGGCAGGAGGGGGACACAGAAAGGGACCAGCCCCACGGCTGTCCTGGGAACTCTGCAGCTTTGAAGTTCCCTTCTGCCCCACTTGGCAGTGACTGAGGAGAGAAATCTGCTTCACCCGTGATGCAGCAAGGCCCCAGCGAGGTGCTCTGGCAGCCGGGAGAAAATATCTCCATTAAGGGACTTGTGGATCATTACCTTTTTTATTACTATTTACAGTGCTGAGTATCGAGGCAGATGGCAAACCATAATCCTCCCTTTCCCATCCTCTGAATGAGATTTTCACGCCAGGAGCAGTTTCTCCCCTGCCCGACAGACAAGCAAAGCTCATATTTAGGTCAGGGCTCCCCAAGCTGTGCCGAGACTCCGGGACCTGCTGACCCCTGTGTCTCACCCTGGGCTGGCTTCTCTGCCTGCTGCCCAGTACCAGCAGCTGGAAAACCCTCACAGGGGACAGGAGGTGGTGGCAGAGGGTGTCCCTGCTCGGTACAGGGCAGGCAGGGATGTCCCAGAGTTGTGCATCTCTCCCCTGCCCAGTGCCAGTTCCCAATGCCTGGGGGAAAAAACACAAATCCAGCATCTCC